AGTTATATACTGGGTGTCTTGGGTATAAGCGGAATGAAATTCCGCTTATAAACAAAGAACCCAGTGTATAACTGATTTATGCCCTGCGATCTTGATATAGTGACCAGGGTATAACTTATATTTAGAAACTCATATGACAGTATAAACATGACTTTTATTGTAGTTATTTTGATTGGTTAATATGAACAACTAAATGCGCATTAACATTAATTATATTCATTTCAGTAAGGTTATTATTCTTCCAGTGGAATTTTTCATCGGAACCACTGGAATATTGGAAAAATCTGGAAACAGAGTAGGATTCCAGATTTCGGTCAACAACACTGTTCTATAGCATTTTTTACAATGTGATTCATTTTTGGATCCAAAGTTAGTGCTAAGGTAAAGTTTTGCGTAGCTTTAGTTCTTTCACCCATTGCTTTATGAATTTTTGCCATTAGGAAATAAACTTTAGGTTCATTTGGAACTGCCTTTTTGAGTTTTTCTAGCTCTATAAGAGCATCCTATAGAAGATGCAAAAAAAAAAAAAAATTGTATGTATATATCAAATAATTCAAAACTTATAAAAAAAGAAAGAAAAAAAAACCTCATATTGTTGATCTCTATATAAAGATTTCGCTTTTTTAAATATGGCCAACGGTGTCTGTGGGGTAACCTGGCATGCACGATCATAAAGACTACGTGCTTCTTCAACTTTACCCATTTTTTCTAATACCTGGTATAATTATAATATATAGTTATTTTTATTTCGTAAAGATAAGATTTCTAAAATTAACTTACCTTGCCCAAGCAGCACATAAGGACTGCATGATTTGGATTGATTTTCATTGCCATCCTATAATTTTTTTCTGCTTCATATGTTTTACCACATGTAATATAATAATTTGCAAGACCGTATCTGAGAGTTTTTTAATAAAATTTAATCACGAGTTATTGAAATTTGTTAAGAAAAAAGCAAAAAAAAAACATACAGAGCATTGTAATGTCGATTATTTGTATTTAACGCATTTCTGAAATGTTTTTGAGCTTCTTCATAATTTGCGTTAGCCATACTTTCGTGGCCAGATAGAGTATGTGCGTAGGTGAACGAATTGTCAAGTTGTATCGCCCGGCGAAAACATTTCAATGCTACGTCATGTTCTTGTTGTCGACTGAAGCAGTTACCAACAGCACACCATGTTTGAGGGGATCTACGCTCAAACTCTATTAACTCGTGAGCTAGTGCACTAAGAGCAGTATCTTTACGCAAATGCCATAGTGTAGTAGAATATAATTCCATATCTTCGAGACGATATGATTCTAGTTGACGCGCTTTCTGAAAATGTTGTTCGGCCTTGATAGTTTTTATATAGATAGCATAGAGGAAGA